AGAGAGAGAGAGAGAGAGAGAGAGAGAGAGAGAGAGAGAGAGAGAGCGACAGGGGGAGAGGTGAGAGGCAAACATTAATACTCCAACAATAAGCCTGTTTGAGACACCATAGAAGATTGTCAACCACTGGAATGCCCTTATCGCGGTTTCTGTTTACACAACAATCAGGACTTCCAGTAGGGGACAAGGGGGCGTGGTTTTCCCACAGTTCACAGACCGCCACTTCATCCCTCTCACGGCTGTCTAACAATGCGCATTGTACAAATGTTAGGTGGCTTTCACCTGGTGTGGTCTTTACTTGGATCGACTGACTGACTGACTGACTTTCTACCCCACCAGGACATCACACACGCGATCAACACCCGATGACACAAAGTGCCACCATGTGGATGAGGATCGCCGTGGAGAGGTCCCAGAAACCGCGTTCAGACAATTGGCCATATTTATGACCTGCCTATATTGCGGCCCCTGGCAAAAGCCAGAGTGGGGCTTCAAATAACACAAAATTACGTCCTAAAAAAGGACGTAAAGAAAAATGTATGTAACTACTTGGATCAAGCCACCGCCTCCTTTATATTCTCCGGTCGATCGTGGATCGAGCAATCAACAATTATTAGTGGACTGCGGCATTCAGAGCTATCAGATAGAAATAGATGGGGGCATAAGAAGGTAAAAGAAATTTGAGGTTTGAGGTTTTAAACAACGGGTCAACATCATGGCACACTGGTAGTAACCCATTTGTGCTCCGTTTTTCTTCTAACTCAAGTCTGTGTCCGAAGAAGCTCAGCACAGTGTACATGCTCTGTAGCACCGGCGAGAATCCTGAAATACTGTGGGTAGATTTTTAACTTCAAATTTGGCCCGGACAGCGCCGTTAGGCTACCCTTTTCGATTTCCAACTGCCAAGAGATTTTTTTTTTTTTTTACGTGCGCAAAAATTCACACGGACTTCTGATCTCACTACCCGGAGACCAGGGGGAATTACTATAAGTCCGCCCGGCTCTCTAGCGTAGTTGGCTAAACCGGATTGCGCGGTAAGCGGGTGACAAACTCCTTGTGGTCCGGGTTCACTCCCGGGGGTAGGCAGAAAAGCCACATCTTCTCCCAGTTTTACAGTATTTACAATGGAATCAAGGCTGAAAGGTTTCGATATCCATAATACCGAGCCTAAGGGTTAACAACTCATTGCTTCTGGATACTAAAACAAACAAACAAACTATAAGTCCAAGTCCACGTGAAATAATCCAATTCCTTACCGGGAATTGAACCCGGAACCCCTAGCACTCGAGGCGGACACCATGAATCGAGACCACGCAGCTCCTATAGATAATGGTAGACAACAGGGAGACAGAAACTGCGTATTCAAAATTTGTGAATGGGAATAGAGCATGAGGCAGACCAAGAAGACGATTAGATAGCTTCTCTGCGCCTTCAAGTGCAGTGGACATAAATGGCTAGACCTTTGTTTTAGAGACCGATCGGTACTTGGTGGGTGATGTGGTCCAACTAGCACTGGCCGCCTTTACTTCCCATGACTTTACGTATTACCCATTTAAGGTTGGGTCGACCTGGGAGCCAATGTCATTTTGAAACGAAGTCCCGCTCCTTCCTTTCGGATTTGGATCCGCAGGCGGGCGCCTAGTCGCTTTACCACTCCAAGAAGACGACGGGGAGATAATTTACGGGCAGACCAATAATGAACACTTAGAGTCACCAGCTGGGACAAGAAGGCCAATCACAGAGATGACAGGGATTCAGCATGAAAGATTGACTCAGGGGTCACCTTTGTGTGGGCAGCCGTGGTGGTAAAACGGCTATATGCAGACGGCTAGCCGTCTACCGGAAGCGTCGCACAGGGCACGAAACCCGTAGCTCCAGAGACGGTCCCGGGGAAGTCGTTATGATTCATAGTGAACTGAGTCGGTGAAACGCACCCATAACCTTCAGAACACGAGGCACACAGCTTGACACTGTCCCCACAGTGACCCCCTAGAAATAGAAACATTGCAATCATTTATTTCATTGTATCTGAATATGTTATATCAAGAAAAGATATAAAACCGAACAAAAAGTATATCAGTAAGCTTCACAATATCACAAACACAAACAAAACGTGAACCTGCGGCTTTGGAGCCTTCATCAGCACATACGTAAATAAAAAAAATACCACATAAATACACAAAATCACTTAGCTTAGTATCTCGAAGAGGCCAGGTCGATGTCTAGTCAGTAGACTGACGAGACACGTGGGACAGAAGAATAAATTCCCCCGGGGAATGACATGGGCCGTAACTGGAGGGTTTTAGATAAAATTGTATGGGCAGTTCAGTCCCCTAGGATTTTAGATAAAACTGTGTTGGCAGTTCAGTCCTCTAGGAGTTAACGTGCCCAGGGTGAAAATAAGGCGATTAAAGATTGAATATGTTATAAAACGTTACAGCAGGCAGGACAAACTGAGGGTCCTACTAGGGTGGTTTGGATCATGTTTGTGTCGTCATGATGGCTACACACGACAACTAATTGAAGTTTTAATAAACAAATGTTGCAGAATATCTCCTTTGTGCGGGCCGCATGTAAGCTAGCAAATGACCGCAAGTTAGACTTGTCTGCGTTACAATTCTCCCATGTGTAAAGTCAAACCTCGATTAAACTCACTCGTTTAACTATCAGTTTCTGTTATCTTCATCGTCATTAAAAAAATGATGACGATGAATGATTGGTTCTAGAAACCTACAACTAACCACCCAGAAACTCAGAAACAGAAACATTTATCAAAGTGCATCGACTGCTTTTAAATGCAAGAGATGCAAATGAAAAACGAATCCTACTTATGAGTAAGATTTTGAACATCGCAGAAAGCTCGAGCCTCAAAGACAGAAGAAGATGACAGATTATTTTGAAGTAACGTAGGTTAATAGTATTACAGCATATTTCTATAGATGACATGCCTTATGAAGAGCTGCAGGGGTTTCAATGAAAGACAGAATTCAAAATCACGAAATCAGACGCATGCTAGGAATAAAGCCAGTCTTACAGGTCATCACAAAACAAAAAATGAAGTGGTTTGGACACCTAACAAGAATGTCCTAGTACTATCTGCCACAGCGAGCCACACTAAAACGTTACAACGAGTGTAGATGGAGTGGAAGACCTCATAAAATAATGGATTGATGGCTTAAAGAATAGCCATTCAAAAATGAACATCAATCGTAATAGTGTTCTTGACAGAGCTCATCAACAAATGTTACATCTCCCCCCGACACTTCGCTGAGGTACAACGTGGAAGAGGAGAAGAAGAACACATTTCTGTACATAACTACTCTTATATTGAAGTTTATATTGATCGTTTTGTAAAATTAAATACAGTATCTTATTCACGTTTACGGGAATTTATTTTCATTTTCGTTCCAAGCCGGCTGTATTAGGAGATTTCTGTTATCTGTCTGTTCGGTTATTCGTCACAGCCCTGGTTAACCGTAACGGTTAATCTGAGTTTAACCGTACCAATAACAAGTATTCGTTGGTCTAAAGACACTCGCCACTGTTGTCGCCGACTCCTCCGGAGTAGTTTCATGACCGCATTTCAGAGGACAACTAGAGTTGAGTTTTGGGAACCGGCATCATAGCACTCGGAACATTCCCATAAACGCTCCGTCCCTAACTTCAGCAGCGAAGAGTTCTAGCTCCGATGGTACCAAGTAAGTCTGTAAGTGCGCCTTGCCTTTTCGCTCAGTGTGGAATGTTGACCAGATCCCCTAGTTACTGCCCCTTGCACCATTCTTTTCAGATGGTGATAATTTAAGTTTGCCTCCGCCCTGTTCAATCCCTGGCAACATCTTGGGCACGAATGGACTCACCCAGTTGCCTAGCAGTCAGGAAGTACCCAGTGCAGAAAATGTCCTTTCACAGGCATACACAGACACACACCACTTGAGCCACTGCCCCTAACCGCTCCACCCCCAATCCCTTTTTCAAGTTGGTTACATGTCCTGTACAAGACGTTGCATAACCAACCCCATCATGTTTTGCTGTAATTTTCCTTGGCAATGTTGCTTTCAATAGCTTGCCATTGCTACTAAACGGTCTGCTCTCGATACCAATGTCGAAACCAACACAAGGCGATCTGCTGTCAAATCGCCTGCAGCTGCTGGATTAGAACCCGGAACCTCAGCATTCGAAACGCGTTGGCAACGCCTTACTGACACATGCCAGTTCTCTTAAAAAACGCTTTGTAAAAAGCGACTAATTACGTTTTTTTCTGAAATCGCAGCCTGGCTGTAAACCAAAGACAGCGTGAAAATCGCCCTTCTAAAGGCGCACGTAGAAGAACAAGTTGCTACCGACTCAACAAGTGGGGATTTCGAGCAAATTCCCTTACAATCACCGGGCCACCACAATATGTAATCCTTCCCGGCACGTGCGAGCAGTTGTTTGTTCCCCCCTCTCTCTCTCTCTCTCTCTCTCTCTCTCTCTCTCTCTCTCTCTCTCTCTCTCTCTCTCTCTCTCTCTCTCTCTCTTCCTCCCCCACTGTTGATCTGGCCCGAGCCGAAGTCGAGGGCCCAGCATGAGAGTGTCCGGGCTGGGCGACCACCTCACGAGAACATCTGGCGTTCAACCAATGAGATTTGATTTGGCGCATGCCGCGCACAATCCCGGCGCCTTGATTGGCTGGCCCGGGCAGTGTCCACAAATAGACCCACCGTGGGAAAGGTACCAGTTTCGACTTCACATCGTTTCACGAGGGCTTCTGACGGTCCGTGTCACGTAGCCATCCACCAACGTCTCGCCCCCTCCCCTTCCCTACCCCATAGCCTCCCATCCCATCTGGTAATCAAGATCGGTAGCTGCAAAGGTCCAGGCTAAGGTACAAAACCTGGATGCCGTGTCGGGATCTGGCAGTGAAGTCTGAGAGCGTGTTAGAGGAGGTTGTTTAGCTAGAGGCAAGGCAACTTGTGCCGGGATACTTACTGTAACTGTGATTGTATACTGCTGTTCGGATAATGACCATGTCAAATGTTGTAATGTCGTCACCACAGAGGACAGGCGCGTCGCTGAGAAAAGTAAGTAGTTATGTCTGCGTTAAAGTAGATATTTATTCTGATCAGCACTTTATACTTAATAATATAATTATAATGTATACATATTTACAATTTTGACCCAAAAAAAAATTTTTTTTAATCCATATTGTATGGAATACTTTTGTGTGTTTCTTTCTCGGCACTCTTCTGAATACCGGTTCAAATTCTATTCACTGTTTATCATTTAGCTGCGATGATATAAATATATACCTATTTAAAATTTTACAAACTGCTTTTTCAATAGCATCTTCTTATTCGCCTTCACCAGCTGTACACTCTGGCGGAAAGTTCTGGTTGCTCGTCCACTAGTGAACTGCAGTCCTGCTCCAGAACCTGAGTGTTTGCGCGTGCATCAGTTTTACAGATCTTATTCTCTTGAATACAGACTGTTGGTTCCTTGCCTCTCCGGCAGATGCACTCCGACTTCAAAGGAAGCTCCCCAATTAGTCGACTCTTACGACATGCTTTTGGGGAGGCAGTGAGTATTCTTGTTTTCGCCCATAATGGGGCCCCGGAACCCACACTGGGGAATAGCATACTGTAAACTTTTTACTGTGCTATTTCTCTTTATCTTTTTATTTTCTGTTTTTCATTCAAGTACTAGGACTTTGATCAACACCATTGATCACAATACATCTATGACCGACTCTACATTCTAATTCTTCTTCTTTGCATTCACCAGCTGTAAACTGTATCAGAGATTTCTGGTTGTTTCAACTTTTGGACTGTTGTCCTGTTTCAGACCTTGAGTTACGTTCTGACTACACATGACTTCATTAGTATGACTGCGATACTAAAACTATTAAACTCTAATTGGTATTTAGTTATGTACCTAACTGTATGATTACTTGTATATTATACCTATCTAACTACACACACAAACACATAGATAGGGTTAAGTACGTACATTTACATTTGTTAATGATACATTTATAAAGATCACATACTAAATTAATTGCCTGTCCAGTTATCATACTGCAATACTAAATATTTTTCTGAGAACCAGATAATGTTTCAAGACAGCAGCAAAATTATTTTAGCGAAATAAAACAGCTTAAAAAAAAGTAAAGTGTTAAAAGGGATAAAGGAAAACAACCAGAAAAAGATTTCTGACAATGTTTTGTCAAACACAGGAACTAATACAAGTACAAGCTACTGAAGATTGGAGTTTTGAAGGAACATGATTTACCACATCAGTCAGACGTTTGAGACAGGCACTTGATGATACAGAATTACCCCAAACTATCAGCAGTGATAACAATAGATGATCATTAGAATTAAGTGATTGTTATAGAAATGAAATTATTTGTGGGAATGAGTGTTGAAATGTGTGCTTCTCTTCCACAGACGAATAAACCACTGATGGAAAAGAGGAGGAGGGCAAGAATTAATGACAGTCTCAGCCAGTTGAAGTCTCTAGTCATTCAGAGTAACAAGAAAGATGTAAGTATTCTCTTTCTATATGTATAGATCTTGTTCACACTTTCTCCATTCCTCTCCCTCTCTTTCTTTCCATCTGTTAATCTCTCAATCTTTCTCTCTCTCTCTCTCTCTACTGTCTGTATATGTGTCTGGACATCTGTCACTATTCTGTCTCTCCCCCTCTCTAAAATTGTCACTCTTTATTCTTTGACCATTTGTTCACACATAATTAGAAGTTAATAGTTTTATTCTGTCTGTGATAAATGAAACATTTTGTTGACACTGTCTTACAAATTGTGACTTCATATTTCAATCTATGAAGCTCTTCTTCTTCTCCATACTTATCTTAGTCTCCTATCAAATTATTTAAGTATGTAGCTTCATTTATTTTAACATTTTCAAATAAAACATGGAATATTTGTTGTTTCTTTGCCTGGTTCCAGAGTCAAAGTTTTTCCCTAGATTCTGTAACTGTTCTGTTGATACCATAAGATAAGAACACAAATATTTTTTATTTTGTCAGTGCTTGTAGTCTGAAGCAAGAACTGATTTTATGTCTTACAATTTCCTTTCAGTACTTCATACATTACAATTCCTTTCAGTATTTCATGTGTGATAATTTTCTTTCAGAGTTCCCAGTTCAACAAACTGGAGAAGGCAGATATACTAGAACTGACAGTGAAGCATCTCCGTAACCTGCAGGAGCAGCAGCAACAGTTGTCTCAAGTCAATACTGATGTTAATTTAGCTGGCAAATATCAAGCTGGCTTCGTGGAGTGTGCCAATGAAGTCATCCACTACTTAGGTCAGTCTCAAGGATTCACTGACGACCTCAAGTCTCGTGTTGTACATCATCTCGCCAGCTGCCTCCAGCTCTCCGGGAAACTCCCCGTTGCCCTGACCAACACTTCTGTGGCCAGTCCCCCAGTTCTGCCTGCTGGACACAACAACAATAATCAGCTTGTGAGTGGACAGATAGTGCAAGTGGTCAGTGGACAGTTTGCCAACACTAAGCCTGCTGTTGCTAGCAGCTTTCCTGCAGATGTAACTGTTTCTATAGCTCAGCGTACCTCAGTTTCATCAGCCCCGACAAACATTCCAGCCACCATTGCGACAACCACCACAACCACTCCTTCATCTGAACCCTACAATGCTCTGAAATACACTCAGCCACTGCGGATTCAGATTCCTTCAGTGGTGTCCCCAATCTTCATCCAAGCAAAGACAGCGCAGCAGCCATCAAACCAGTCCAACGTGGTGTACAAATTCAACGATGTAGCTGCACAAGTCGTCAAAGTCCAAGCCCTGCCTTCACAGGTCAGCACACAGATGTCCAGCCACAAACAAGAAACATTTATGTCATCACACCCATCCACTTCCCCCTCCAGAGACAGATCTCTCTCGCCAGTTCCTCTCACCACATGTCGGAATTCCCACAGATTCTACACACTTGACTCCCAGTATTCTGATTTCATCCCAAGATCGAGGACATACTCTCTAACATCCTCTTCATCAGAAACAGAAATGTCCTCACCTTTGAACTTGTCTCAGTCCCCACAGTATTATGACCACAGAGAGCTTAACTCTGACTACCCTAACTCATTCTGTAAACAAATACCCCAGACATCCGTCCACTCAAATACAATATCCAGCACTCATCCAGCAACCAAAGACAGACTCCTCTTACCCGTGAGCCCATCCTCCAAGATGACATCCGTGATTGTTGATGGCAGAAAGACAGCTGAGAGCCACTATATGAAGTACATGCACTACATCGATGAAGATCAGCATTTCAATAGTCACCAGGGCTCTACATCTCCAGCATCATCCGTGGGGGAGGAGAGGCTGTGGCGGCCATGGTGAATGTTTAAGGGACATTTTCGGTCACAATTTACCAGCCAAATCAGGGTGCTATGAGAACCATGCAAGAGCTTACAATCTTACAATAACAATTACAGAGCATGAGATGTCAGCATAAATACACTAAGAAACATGCTGAGGAGAAGACTTGTGTGCTTATGGGTAAACCGTACAAGCAAAGAAGAGGATCCTGAAGTGAACAATGTTTACATATGTTGAATGGTATTTCAGTTACACAATAACAATTTTTACAATCCCTTTGTGTTGAGCCGCCAATCCTCTCAGATTCTTGATTTACATCAAGAAAAATGGCACCAGTTTGAAATGTGTTCATTGTTAAATTGTAGCAGTTAGTCACTAGCATGTCCTTAGCAGAACCTTGCTCTCATAACAACCTTATGGCTGTTATGGTTTCTTGGCAAGTTAAATTATAGTAGATGATGAAAATTAATTGTACCTGTGTATAATTTTGGTAGTGGGAAATGCTCATCTAAAATCATAAATTCTGTGGCTCGTTCTGGGAAACACTGTGATGTAGTGGCTAGACCTTTGTCTGCCGATCTGAGGGTTGTAGGTTCAAATCTGAACTGAACTGGACTTTTTTTTTTTTTTTTTTTTTATGATCCAGGGCGCCATTTTGACACATCAGGTACCAGGAAAGTCCAGGGAAGTAAAGATGGTTAGCATCATGATTAGCATCACCCACAAAGTGTCAATTAGTCTATAAAATTAAGTCTAGCCCTATATGCCCAGTAAGCCTGAAAGCATGGGAAAGGGTCCTTTACTTTTACATTCGGACCTGTTCTGTGGTAAAATATGTGGTATTTCGTAGGAATAAGATAGTTGGTGTGATACTGACCACATCAACTAGCCAGTGGTCAAGAAATCATGGTCCTAGTTTTCAGGAAGCCAAAATGGCATGAGTGTAGAGTCCTGTACCTTTGCTTTTTTTTTTTTTTTTTTTTTCAGAAATAGAGATAGTTGTACCCATTTCCTGATGAGCTGTATCCATTTGAGAAGTAACTTGACAGGATATGTTGTACCAACTTGACATGATATGTTGTACCATCTTGACATAATATGTTGTACCAACTTGACATGATATGTTGTACCATCTTGACATGATATGTTGTACCAACTTGACATGATATGTTGTACCAACTTGACATGATATGTTGTACCAACTTGACATGATATGTTGTACCAACTTGACATGATATGTTGTACCATCTTGACATATGTTGTACCATCTTGACATGATATGTTGTACCATCTTGACATGATATGTTGTACCAACTTGACATGATATGTTGTACCAACTTGACATGATATGTTGTACCAACTTGACATGATATGTTGTACCAACTTGACATGATATGTTGTACCAACTTGACATGATATGTTGTACCAACTTGACATGATATGTTGTACCATCTTGACATATGTTGTACCATCTTGACATGATATGTTGTACCATCTTGACATGATATGTTGTACCAACTTGATATGTTGTACCAACTTGACATGATATGTTGTACCAACTTGACATGATATGTTGTACCAACTTGACATGATATGTTGTACCAACTTGACATGATATGTTGTACCAACTTGACATGATATGTTGTACCAACTTGACATGATATGTTGTACCATCTTGACATGATATGTTGTACCAACTTGACATGATATGTTGTACCAACTTGACATGATATGTTGTATGTCATCGTCATTCTCTTGAGATGACTCAAACCCACTTGACATGAGTCTAACCTAATATGAATCAGACCCACTTGATATACATCAGACCCACTTTATATGAGTCGAACCTAATATGAGTCAGACCCACTTTACATAAGTCAGATCCACTTGACATGAGTCAGATCCACTTGACATGAGTCGGACTCACTTGACATGAGTCAGACTCACTTGACATGAGTCAGACTCACTTGACATGAGTCTAATCTGACATAAGTCAAACCCGACCTAGTTCAGACCCACTTGAGATAATGATACTCAGTTATGATAAAACTGACTATTGTATGACAGATATTTTATAGAAATCTGGGCAGACTTTGTCTTGACTTCTCTGTTTGTACCTTTACATAGTGGGTGTAACCAGAAGTACTAAATTACCTGTAGCCCTGTGTGGGTTCCAGGTCCTCATTGCAGGAGGTGGGGGGGGGGGGGGGGGGAATAAACTCATCCACTGCTTTCCTAACAAGCAGTGGACTAACTGGGTTTCCTTTGAAACCCAGTTGCCTGAGAGGCAACAAATCAACAGTCTGCATGCCATAAGTCAGATCTTAAATTTATTTTGCAAAACTCAACAGAAATAAATGACTTTTTTACCATCTTCAGTGTTAATTACAAGAAACAGGTGGTTTAGATGTTTGGGTCCTAGACTTAGCTCAAGGGTCCGAGGTTTTAATCTCTGGTAAGGTTATGAACTTCTAGTTGGGGTCAAATAAACCCTCATGTCTGCGCACTGCTTGGCAGCTGATTGGACATGCAGCTAATTTTTGTTAAAACTGTGCCTTCATAAAGTAGTTATGGTGCTGTAAGTATAATGGGTCAAATTGTTGATCTCTTGTGTGTAATCATGTCCGAGAGCTTGTGTCGGTATATCTTGATCCAGAAGAGCCAAATGTTGAACCCATCTTGTGCTTCGATTACTCAGGGGCCAACATTTTAAAAAAGCAGATCATCACAAGCCAGAGGGCCCAGCTCCAGCATAGAAAGATCATAAAAACAATACAACTGACAGTGATCCGCGGGCCACTGTCCAGGCCTCCATGGGCCAGATTTTGCCCGCGGACCACCAGTTGAGTAGCCCCCCTGCTATACAGTTCATTTTCTGACTGATGACAGTGACTGTAGATTTCCAGCTTCCTGGACTGTTTTAACTATGTGGGTTTGGGCACAGAATCTTTCCTATTCTGGGATTACAGCATAAAGACTGGCTGCCAGTGACTCGAGGAGCCACTTTTGTAGTTGTGAATCCAGCAGGTGCAAATTGTAGAAATCCTGTTCAACTGTATAAAATAGTTATTATATTAGGGCACACTAGGTTCACAAAGTAACGTATTGTCTCAAGGTTTGGGTGTGATATCATTAGTGAATTAAATGTATTGTCAATGAACTCTGCCTGTATTTGAAGTTAAAGCAGATATGGTCATGATTAGCTACTAGTTTTTAAGCATCCAACGGCTGTAAACTCTGGTGGAAACTTCTGGTTGTTTGTCCACTTCTGTGGACATTAGATTTGTTCCAGAACCTGAGTTTTGTATGTACATCCATTTTTACAGATCTGGCCTTTTTTGTATGCAGACTGTGATTCTTTGCCTGTCAGGCATATGCACTTCAACTTTGAAGATAATAGTCCTGGTTGGTCGCCTTTTACAACATGTTTGTTTTGGGAATAGTGGGTCTACCCCCCCCCCCTCCCACTCTTCCCCGAGAAATGGGGGCCATGAAATGCACAATCAGGAGTGGGGGTCAGCTGAACATATAATTTTTTTTTTACTGCAGACAAATGAGACCTGGAAATATTACCCTCAGGACGAAAATGGCTGTTTACCGCTCTACCTATGTACCAGTCCTGACCTATGGGTGTGGGTCATGGGCAATGACAACAGCTCACAGAAGCCAGCTGCAGGCCTCGGAAATGAGATACCTGAGAAAGGTGGTCCAAGTGACAAGAAGGGACAAAGTCCGCAATCAGACAATACGTCAAGATCTTGATACCCAGCCCTTACTAACCCGAGTGGATCAGTCACAGTTACGATGGTTTGGACATGTGTGCAGAATGGGAGAAAATCGGCCACCATGGCAAGCATGGGAGGCTAAGAACCAGGGAACCAGACCTCCGGGACGACCCAGGGTGCGCTGGGAAGACAACATCTGACAGTCCCTGACTGACAGAGGACTGGAATGGAACAAAGCCAGAAAGAAAACTGCTGATAGAGACGTCTGGCGATCTTTCTGGCAAACCTCTACACCCCAAGGTAGAAGAGGAGCGACTAAGTCAGTAAAATATTACCCTCCACCCCCCAACAACATTGAATAGACAAGATGATGGATAGCTTGAAAAGATGTATACTAAGAGAGGATAACTCTTACAGCATAAAACATATTTGGTGCGATGTGCCTTTTGTTTATCTACCTTCGATGAACACACTGATTGTTTTAAATATTGTTAAATCGCAGAAGCGTATTGTGATATCTCCACTGTTCTTCACTTTTGTTTGTAGTCCTTTTTTTTTCTTGATGCTTTTTTTTTTTTTTTCTCGGTCTACAAGCAGCAGCACTTCTTTTATTCTTCTAAGTGTGCTCCCCCCCTTTTTTTTTCTGATGCCATTCAAATTATTTTGTTAATTGCCACTTTTGTTGCTTCTCTCTCTCTCTCTCTCTCTCTCTCTCTCTCTCTCTCTCTCTCTCTCTCTCTCTCTCTCTCTCTCTCTTTCACTTCTCACTTTTTTATTTGGTTTTTTTCTTCTGTTCTATTTCTCTAATGTATTTAAAATGAAATTGTTGAAGCTGAGAAAATTAAATATGATTTGACTATGACAAGTGCAGTCCTGAATTGTGTATTTAGCAGTATTTACCCTCTCTGTACGTGTGTGTGTGTCACATATTTCACTGCCTGTGATCCTATAATATACTTCCCGTCCTTTTTTAGGATGAAATTTTTCGTTTTTTGAAGCCCTAATCTGGCCATTGCCAGGGGCCGCAATGTATCTTGGTCATAAATGTGGCTGAATGCGGTTTCTGTGACCTCTCCACGGGTGATCCTCATCCACATGGTGGCACATTGTGTCATCGGGTGTTTATCGCTTGTGTGATGTCCTGGTGGGGTAGAAAGTCAGTCAGTCAACTCACTTCCTCTGTTGAAGTCCGTCCCGGTGTGAGACGCAATTTTTCGTTGTTGTGAAGCCCCACCACCTAGCTTGGATAATGAAGTTGAAGCTTCAGATCCAAAATGACTCTGGTATGCTTTAGCT